GGAAACGCTGGCAGCCGACTCAGTAATATGCAACGCCAACGCGGTGACGAGCCAGATGTGGAGTGTCGATCCCCTCAGCACGTATAAGCCGGCAGCCCGCGCGATCGACCAGAATAATGAATTGGCGGCTCCCTCCACACACCAGCGCATCTTCGGCAGGTATCCCATTCTTCACACGCCCTATACCCCCCTCAAGGCACCAACCTGGGCCATTATGTGTGTGTGTGTGTGTGTGTGTGTGTGTGTGTGTGTGTGTGTGTGTGTGTGTGTGTGTGTGTGTGGGTGGGTGCGTGTGTGTGTAACTACAGCAACACCGACAAATTCCACCACACCAACAAATACAACAGCATCAACAATTACAATCACATGTAAGCGACAAACCCGTGCTGTGTTCCTGCGACGAGCAAGTTTCCGTCGTGCCCGGCAAAGCAGCAGGACGTGGGCTGGCCCTCGCACGCTAACGGGATGAAAAAGAGGGGAATTGAGTGAACGAGAGAACGGTGCAATGTGGGCGAACAATGATACGAGAAGACACTGAGAGCCAACACACACACACACACACGCACACACACACACACACACACACACACACACCGAGGACGCGTCGTGGAGCGGAGGGTGACGCGACGTCCCAGAGAGCGACGAGACCAAGTGAATACATGCGCGTGGCGGGACCGCCGCTGCAGATGGTGGTCATCGATGGTGGTCGTTGATCGTGGTTGATGGTTCGAAGTAGTGTGTGAGAAGAGAGATGACGGCATACTTTGAGTCCAATCACAAACACGCGCACCGCACTGCACACACACACACACACACCGTTTGATGGGCGCGGGACTGTAGACGGTGGCAAGCATTTGCGGATTCGATGCACTGCTAACGGCGCTGGTGACGTGTCGCCCTGTTGTTGAAACGGAAGCATTCACATCAGCACATGGCAAGGGGCTCGCAATGTTGATACGACTGAAACGATCACGCCTGCAGAGAGCGTCACAAGTAATGGCACGCCTGCAGAGAGCGTCACAAGTAATGGCACGCCTGCAGAGAGCGTCACAAGTATTGGCACGCCTGCAGAGAGCGTCACAAGTATTGGCACGCCTGCAGAGAGCGTCACAAGTATTGGCACGCCTGCAGAGAGCGTCACAAGTAATGGCACGCCTGCAGAGAGCGTCACAAGTATTGGCACGCCTGCAGAGAGCGTCACAAGTAATGGCACGCCGCTCATACACACACACACAATCACATACACACACGCGTTCGTGCACGGCACCTGCGAAGATGGGGGCAGCAGCAGCCATGTGTGTTGAGGAGGAGGAGAGGCCCGACACGCTGGTTGCATCGGCGCCATCGCCCTGCTCCAGCCGGCGAATCGCCGCTTCCTCGTCCAGCACAGCCGCGCACAGGCGTCCCATGCGCAGCACAAACGACTCTGGCAGTTGTAGGTGGTGGCGGCGTGCATGTGAGAGTGGACAACAGGAATGAGCAGGGAGAGGCAACGGCGCTTCGCGCGTGCAGAAACAAAACAAAGACACACGAACACGCGCACAAAAGCACAAACACGGAACACGCACAAAAGTTCAAGCACACACACACACACGTACACACACGCACACACGCACACATACATACACACGCACACGCACACGCACACATACACACACGCCAGGCGCGCACCGTATTCTGAAGTTGTTGTTTCGCGTTTGAGGGCGTGTTTGCTCTCTTGTTGCTCTTCCTTTGTGAGCGGACGGCCAAACCCCTTCAAATCGCTCGGTGGATATTGGGTCCAGCACTCCTGCGTTTCCACTTCTTCCGTCTGCACGCCCTGGTCACCACTGCACACGCGCGCGCGCACAATCGAGTTGAACGCGGCGCGTGAATGGTGGGAACAAGCGGTAAAATGAGGTGGAGAACAGCTCAACTCCGAGGAAATTACCGCGACGGTGCACACACACACACACACACACACACACACACACACACACACACACACACACACACACACACACACACACAGCCACACACGTACAAGCACGTGGAGGTGGTGCTTACATTTCGGGCGCGCACTGTGTAGCCGTCTGCGTGTAGCTGTCGTTGCCAAAGCTGCGGATGTAAAGCTCATACACGGATACGGGCGCGAGCTCAAATAGGTTGAACGATACAAAGTCCAGTTGCACCATGGATGACAACGCCTGGGCACACGGGTGTGTGTGTGTGTGTGTGTGTGTTGGGTGTAATCGTTGTGAGGCTCAGCAGCGATTGGGTACGTGAGAGCATCAATCCAAGGCAACATGTGCAACCCCGCCCACCTCACCAAGCATACACCCCTCCCCTCTCCTTTTCTCTCTCCACCAGCAGCGGCACCTTGAACCGTCGCATGGCCCGTGATCCGGCCACCGTGCCCTTTGCGCGCTTTGCTGCTCGGCTGAAATCCATCTTCTTCACCCGCACATCTTCGCCCTCATAGTCGTCATTGTCGCCAGCAGCACTGCCCAGTTCAAATTTCCCGGCACCCGATGTGCCTTCCAAACCACTCCCGTTGATGGGCCTGCCATGTTGTGTGTGCGCGTGTGCGTGCGTACGTGCGTGTGTGTGTGTGTGTGTGTGTGTGTGTGTGTGTGTGTGTGTGTGTGTGTGTGTGTGTGTGTGTGTGTGTGTGTGTGTGTGTGTGTTATGTGTGTGTGTTGTGTGTGTGTGTGTTGTGTGTGTGTGTGAATGAAACACACTCTCTGCGACCCATCCACAACCATGACCATCGTTGGTGCACGATGGCCAGGTCATTCCACCGGCACACAGCGCACACACAAGATACATGTACACACTCTCTTAAACACTTTACCTGCGTGATCCTCGAGCGCCCTGGCGTGTTCGCAAGTTCTCTCGTCGCAACGCATCCAGCACCTGGAATGGCGATGGCGAGTGAGACATGGTGAACAAGATGTACCGTGTGAAAGGAACGCATCATGGAACCGCACATAGCAACACAGAGCGCGCGCACACTCACACACGCACACACACTCACACTCACACACGGAACACACACAGACACACACGGAACACACACAGACACACACGGAACACACACAGACACACACATACACACACACACACACAACACAGCATATCACGCCAGATCCTCTCCCCGAACCCCTCCCCCCCCCCTTTACTTCACCCCCCTCCTCTCCGACACCATGCTTCATCCAGCGCACCTCGACCATCTCGTCGTCGTCACCGCTAAGCCGCGGCTGCCCGGGACTGTACAGACGCGTGTTGCTGTCGTTTGGGGCAGCAGCACCATCCAGCGAGCGCAGATCAGAGTCTGAGTCCCGCACCCTGCGTGACCGGTTCACAGCATCCCACCCTTTGTCGCTGCCGCCTTGTTCGCCTTCCTCTTCTTCTTCTTCACCTTCCTCTTCATCATCCTCATCATCCTCGTCTTCAAAGTCGTCGTCGTATTCATAGTCCTCAAACTCATCATCCTCGTAGTTGTACTCATCATCACCACCATCATCACCGCCACCATCACCTTTGCCATCACCATCTGCCCCCTGTTCGTCCTGCCCTGCTGATGTTGTGTCTCCCTGCTGCTGTGCTGCGTCCTGCTCTGCCTCCTCCAGCATTGCTCGGAGACGTGCCTGTGTTTGTGGTGGTGAAGCACGGCAGCGTGTGGATGAAGGGAGGCGACAATGCAGCAGGAAGGTGAAGATGCGTCAAAGCAAGCACGGCACTGGCCCAAATAACCACACCGGAGACCACTGCATACGCAACGCACCACAATGCGCACCACAATGCGCACCACAATGCGCACCACACACACAACGCGCCCGCACACACACACACACACACACAACGCGCCCGCACGCACACACACACAACGCGCCCGCACGCACACACACACACACAACGCACACGCAATACTCCACGCACCTCTCGCGCCTGTTTTGCCTGCTCTTCCCTGCTGATCGCCTGGGCGGCCTTCACCATCTCGGCAGCGCCACGACTCGACTCCATCGCCACGCGCTCATCCCGGCCATCGCTGTCACCGCCACTGTCGCCACTATGACCCTCCTCTTCCGTATCGTGCTGCTGCTGCTGCTGCTGCTGCTGCTGGAGACGCTGCGCTGTTGCTGTGTCGCCGGCGTGTGCGGAGTTGGACGGGCGACGTGCTCGCGCCTCCCGCGCATCCTCCTCCCCGTGCACAGCGGAGCTGACGCGGCTGCTGCCACCGCGCCCCTCCTTGGTGGGCCCCTCTGCCCGCAGACGCCCGGACCGGGAGCGGTGATGCCGAGACGACGAGTGCGCGCTGTCGTGTCGACTCCGTCGGTTGGCATCGTCGCGGGCATCCCGGCTGCGGTGACGCCGACGCCGTTCACCGTCGTCGCGCTCCTCGTGGTCTTCCGCCCCAGCGCGATCACGATGCCTTCTCTCCTTGTCGCGCCGTCGCCTGCGACGCTCGCTGTCGTCCTCGTCACCGCCATGACCGCCCTCACGGTCTTTCCTCCGGCGTCGTTCACGGTCCTTGTCCCTGTCTCTGTCCCGTCTGTCACCGCTGTCGCGATGCTTCGACGAGGACGACGCGGACTTGTGCTTGCGGCGTTCGCGACGACGGTCCTCATCGTCACCATCATCCGCTTCCCGATCTCCGCGATGATCGCGGGATCGTGAGGACCGCTTGTGTTCCCTGTCCCCTCTGTCCCGCCCACTGCGCTCGCGATGGCGGCGCTCCTTGTGCCTGCCGTTGCTGCGCTCCTCCTCGGCTGCCTCGCCCTCTGCGTCGCGGTGTGTGCGGCTGCGCCTGCTGCGCCGGTCCTCGTCCCCGCGCCCCTCCTCCGTCTTTCTTGAGCGGCGTGACGACGACGTTGCCTTTGACGAGCGGGAGCTCGCCTTGGCTGCCAGCGGGTTGGTGGACTTGCGCCCAGCACCTCTGCTACCCCTGCCACTCATCGCTGACAGTTGTGTGCGCTGTGTTTGTTGTGTGTGCCGTGTTTGTTTGGCTGCCGTCGTCCGTTGCAGCGGGGAAGTTGGCAACGGAGATCTTTGTGCTGTCGGAGACGGCTGTGGTAGTTGTGGAAAATTTGTGGATGATTTACGGTGATTATCGTGCTGACACAGGCGAACGGATATGGCTGGTGGTGGTGGCGCAAGTGCACGGAAGGAGCTTGTGCGAGCTGTAGGCCTGTGCATGCTCTGGTACCTGGGCTCCATGATGAACAGCATCTTCAGCAAGAGGTGTGTGTGTGGGAGGGAGAAGGGAGAAGGGGGGTGTGGGCTGCGGGATGACGTTGATGTGATGATGCTGTTGCGTTTGCGTTTGCGTTTGCGTTTTTGCGTTAATTGGTGGGTTTGTGACGATTTGTTCATGCAACATGCAGTGCAATGAAGGTGTTTCCGCGGCCCATCACCGTCACCATGGCGCAACTGTTGATGGTCAACATCTGCTTGCCGTTTTTCCTGCCAAGCAAGGTGTGAGTGGGAGGGAGGGGGGAGGAGGCTGGGGGAGGGGATCTGTGTATGTGGACGTGTGTGTGTGTGAGTGTAAACGTGCGCGCGTGTGTGTGTGTGTGTGTGTGTGTGCGTGGTGCTCACGCGGGTTGATGCGTGCTACAATGGTGTGTCACGTGCTTTTAATTCAGATGCCAAGGCTATCGCGAAAGGATTGGACCTCGTGGGTGATTCCACTGACGGTTCTCAAGATTGTGGTGAGCCTGTCATCACAGATCAGCATCCTCAAGGTCCCCGTCGCCTACGCTCACACAGGTACGCGCGCCTGCACACGCGATCTCTCACGCTTCACTTGGTGGGCTTGCTGCTCTCAATGCGAACACTCACAGTGGTGCTGATGTGATGTCTGCTGTTGGTGGTGTATTGCTGGTGTGCTCATTCCTTCAACGACGGGCGAACACCAGTCAAGGTAAAGCTGCACATGCGTTTGTGTGGAGTGCTCGGTCGCGTGTGTGGCCATGTGCGTGCGATTTGATGTGTGCACATGCCAGACACCACACTGGTAGCACCTTGGTTCATTCTGACAGTCGCTGTTGTTTCTGCGCTGTTCGCTTCGTTTTGGCAGGGCATGATGCCAATCTTCACGGTGTTTCTATCCAAGGTCTTCCTGAACCAGCACCACCCTCTCCTCGCATACATTAGCCTCATCCCCATCATCAGTGGTAATGCGTGTCATCATGTGTGTGCGTGGGGGGGGGGGCGTGTGTGTGTGTGCGTGGGGGGGCGGTGTGTGTGTGTGTGTGTGTGTATGTGTGTGTGTGCGTGTGTGCGTGGGTGTTTGGGTGCACTTCCCTGTCGTTTCGTATTCCTCTCATGCATGCTTGCATGCATCCATCTGCTGTCATTGCAGGCGTCGTTATTGCGTCGGTGACTGAGCTGCAGTTTGACCTGCTGGGCCTCATCAGTGCCCTCGTGGCCACGTTCACATTCGCCATCCAAAACATCTTCTCAAAGAAGGTCCGTGTTGCGTGTGTGTATGTGTGTGTGTATGTGTGTGTGTGTGTGCAGTGGAGTGTAGTGTGGTGTGGTGTAGTGTTTGGGGAGAAAGCGTGTCGTGGACACGGGAAAGGGGTGGCCGACTGTGCGTGTGTACTGCGCGCGAATACTCACGTGTCCACCATGCCACTTGCTTTCTTTTGTTTGTTTTTTTTCTTCGTAATTGTCTGCAATCACGGCAGGTGATGAAAAAGGGGGTGCATCACATCAGCATCTTGCTGCTTGTGAGTCAGAGCGCGTTTGTTGCGCTCCTGCCCTATTGGCTCTGGAACGAAGGCACAGACATCCTCTTTGGCGACACCTTTACCTCGCTCGGGGACCAGGTGAGGGCGGTGGTCGTCGGCTGTTGGCACCGTGGAGGGGTGTTTGGGGCATCTGTGCTGGCAGTCGTTGTGATCACATCACATCACGTCACGTCACGTCACGTCACGTCACGTGTGCTTGCACTCACATGCACACGCACATACATGCACACGCACATGCACACGCACATGCACATGCACACATGCAGGCGTTTGTGGTGCTCTATGAGATGGCGCTGTGTGGACTTTGCAGTGCAATTCAAACCATCGCTGCATTCACCTTTCTCTCATACGTCACGCCAGTCACTTACTCGGTGAGCTCAAGCACATGTAACTTCATCACTTGCTCACCTGCTTGCTTGCTTGCTTGCAGGTACAACAAACCAAAGCACAATCCCGCTCGCCTTGTTACATAATTGATGACGTTCACTTGTTGTTGTGGGGCTGCAGGTTGCGAATGTTGCCAAGAGGATTGTGATTATCGTTGCGTCGATGCTGTTCTTCCAGAATCCCGCCACGCCCGCCAACATTGCCGGCATTGCCATCTCAATCGTGCGTGATGGTGGTGGTGGTGGTTGCGTTGGGAACGGATGTTTTATCACATGTGTGTCACTGAATCACGCAAGCTTGCCCAAGCTTACGCTCTCACACAAGCGTATACAAGCTCGCACCCACTCACGCACTCACACACACTCACACAAGCTTACGCACCCACACAAGCTTACGCACTCACACAAGCTTACGCACTCACACAAGCTTACGCACTCACACAAGCTTACGCACTCACACAAGCTTGCGCACTCACACAAGCTTACGCGCCCACACAAGCTTACGCACCCACACAAGCTTACGCACCCACACAAGCTTACGCACTCACACAAGCTTACGCACCCACACAAGCTTACGCACCCACAAGCTTACGCACTCACACAAGCTTACGCACCCACACAAGCTTACGCACCCACAAGCTTACGCACTCACACAAGCTTACGCACCCACACAAGCTTACGCACCCACAAGCTTACGCACTCTCACCCACACGCAATCACAGTGTGGGATTGCGCTGTACAACAAGTCGAAGCTGGATGAACGGCGACGAACACAAATGCAGCAGCAGCTCGCCATGGACGAGGCAAAGTGGGGCGGCGGTGGTGGTGGTGGTGGTGTCATGAACGGGTACAACGGCGCACACCACCAGCAACAGCAGCAGCCCTCGTTCTTTGCTAATCAACACTACACCAGTGGTGGAAAGCGAAAGCCGTTTGGCCCGCTCCACGTCGTTTGAAGGGGATGGGTGATGGTGGAGGAGGGCGGGGGGGAACACTCGTGCGTCGTGAGTTGGTGTCACGCTAGCTTAGGTTGGTTGCAGGCGTTTTCTTTGCCTTTGCTCGTGTTATTAACATAAACGATGGATAACGGCGGCGGGAAGGGTGAGATGGTTGGATGTGGTGCGTGTATGACACACAAGAACTGTGTGGACGATTTGTGGTCATTTTCAGATGATTTTCGCACGCCTTGGAGGGAGAACAACAGACAGAGAGATGGCTTCGCAACAACAGCCAGAACAGCAGTAGTACGTGTGTATTGGCAGGGGCTCTGCTAGTAGTCTTCTGGTTGTGTGTCAGCCGTGTCCTCGTCATGAAGCCCTTGTTCCAACCCATGCCCTGCTAACCCTCCTCTTGTCTTGTGTCTTGCTATCTTTTCCACCTGTACATCCTCTTTACTTCTTTGTTTGGTGCTTGGTGTCTGTCGTGTGCTGCCATACTGCTCGTTCGTTGAGATGTGTTGGTTCTTTGGTTGGGCCAGTTCAAGTGCGTTTCTGCGTGTACTCACACACTCACGTTGAACCTTCTGCTTGTGGATTGTGGATTGCAGTGAACTATGGTTCAAAATCCTCCTTGTTGGAGCCGTTGCTGGCAAGACCAATTTGATGGTGCGAATGATTGATGACCATTTTCAAGTAAGCTGCCAGCCTGGCCCATACGCGCAAGCACGAGAGTACTCGACCGCTTGTGTAGTAGGGTATTCTATACAATTGAGTGATTGTGCACCACGACTCGAAGGCAATTGTGAGTTGGTCTCACTTTCCGCGACCTGTCCGCGATTCTTGACAGGGTTCCAACAAGCACACCATGGGCGCCGATGTTGTAAGTCTTCGTTTTCCTGTCTTCAATATCTGACGCATTGCTTCGAGACACGAATAATGGACTTGCTACCATCCCTAGGTTGTTTCTTCACCTCGAATTCGTGTTCGTCCACAGGGGCTCCGACTGCTTGAGTTTCACGGCAAACAAATCTACCTGCAATTAGTACGTTCGACGATTTCTTCCTACCGATGTCCAATTGCGTGCTCTGATGCCATCTCTGTACACCCAGCCAGCGCTATAACATTCCTCACGTCCTCATACATGCAATGTTACATGTCTCACGCACTCTGCACTTCCCCTAATTTCTTCTAACATTGTGTGGACAGTGGGATACGGGTGCAAACGCTTCGTATTCGAGTCTCAAGCGAATTTATTTCAAACATGCACGGGGTGCCTTCCTCGTCTACGACGTCACGGATCGCGTGAGGCATTCATAGTGTGCACATGTGGGCATTCGGATACTGCATTGTCTTTGTCGCACACAATGCCGGCATCGCCATTGTCACACAGGCTGATGCCAACGGTGGATCATGAATGCGTGCACAACATCCTCGCGCAGCGTCTCACTGAAGATTGGTACGTTTTGTGGTATCGTTTGATGACATGGTCACATGTCACCTCCATTTCTTGTCAACCTTTCTCCTTTCTCGCAGTCTACCTTTCGCGGAATTCTTGAAACCTTACAAGCAATACGCGCGTTTGCGGATCCCAAGTGCTGCGTGGCCCTGATTGGAAACAAGTGCGATCTCGAACACCGCCGAGAAGTGTCGTTTGAAGAAGGCCAGAGGTTCGCGATGGAGAATGGCCTCGTGTTTTTCGAAACGAGCGCGAAGACAGGCGAAAATGTGGAAAAAGCATTTCAGGAGCTCACAGCTCGCGTGGTGCATCGGCTCGAAACAGAAGATCCACCAGCTGCGACACTGCACGACGCTTGCCGACAAGATACAACATTCAACAGGTTCAACGCTGTGTCGAGATTGCTCCACCTTGGCCAGGATCCAAACAGGCGCGATAGTCAGGTAGCTAGCAGTGCACGCATGTGCAGTTACGCACCAGACACCTGTGCCTTTTGAAGACAGTTTTAGGCATGTACTCTGGGTGTTTCACAAAGCCACAGAATGCATGTATTCTTGTGCTTTGAGACCTGGCAGCAGACTCATTCGCTCATGACTCCCTGCGATTAATCATTCAGGAGAGGCTTCCTCTACACATTGCGAGCGAAAGCGACGCGTCTGATGTTGTGCAGCTGTTGCTCAAGCACAGCGCCGATATCAATGCAAAGGATAAAGAGGTGTTGACCACGCTGTGCGTAGCAGATGCATGCATGTGTGTGTCTGTCTGTTCTTGTCTCTCTGTCGATACGCGTCTAATATTTCACCCGCTCGGATTCACCACACCTCATTCCCTCGTGCTACTCCACCCCCACCAGGGATGGACGGCCCTCCACTACGCCGCGTTCAACGACCGTGCGGATGTCGTGCGCATACTCCTGGAACAGGGCGCTGACACCACCATCAAGCACCGCTTTGTGAGTGAAGCATACAGCTGGTCGTTGCGACACCACGTGCTCTTGTTGTGTTAGTTGCTTGATGTGCGTGTTGAACTGGATCGCTGTCACCCAACCTCTTTTTTGTGTCAAATCTGCCTTCCTGTTCATGCCCCTCCCATCATCTGCTTTCGCCACACACGCACGCACGCACACACACGCACACACACACACACACACGCACACACACACACACACACATACACACACATTCCATGCGTGATTGACAACAACAGCTGTTCGGCAAGACGGCTCTTGACCTCGCTGTCAGCCGTGGGCACAGTGATGTCATTAAGCTGCTTCGCAACCCGCAGGTGTGTGTGCTATGCTTGTGATGTATTGTTGTGTTGCTGTGTCATAAGCTCTGCTTGTTCAAACTCCATCATTCCCTCCTCCTCCTCCTCCTCCTCCTCCTACCACGCACATTCATTCTGTTGTGTGCACTTGCCCTGTTCACGCATATTTCATCTCACCTGCGCAGGCTGTGCAAGCACGACCACCATCTTCACCACAACCTGCATCCCTCCATGATGCCTGCAAGCACGGTGACACTGCGCGTGTGTCTGCACTCATTGACAAAGGCAATGTGGACGTATCCGAACAGGATACGCAGGTACGTGTTTGAATACACGGGTGTGTGTGTGTGTGTGTGTTGTCTCCATTCCCTGGTGCAGATGAACGCACCAGTGTATTCGCCAGACTTGTTGCCTTTGCTCATGCTTGTTTGCTATCTTGTTCACGTTGATCATGGCTGCTTGCATGTGCAGAGCGATACACCGCTGCATGTTGCCTGCAGGCACAATCACGCCGCTGTTGTGCAGCTGTTGCTGCAGAAAGGCGCCAACATCACCACAAAGAATAACAAGGTGTGGCATGTCGAACCGGACACTTTCACTGCACATGTTATGCATTCTGTGTGCATCTGCTGTGCAGTTTTGTGCGCGCGCCGCTGTATCAGCATTCGCGGGTCGTGCAGTGCATTGGTGCATGCGTGCACGAGACTTTGCACCGACACCGTGGGAATGTGTGTGTGTATGTATTTGTACTCACCCGCCAGACTGCCTTGTTGTGTCTGAATGATTGCAGGGTCAGACACCTTTGGATGTGGCAAAGGCAAGCGGTCACAAAGCCATTACATCCATGACAGCGCTCCAACCCACAACTGCCACGACACCAAGCAGCGACAGCGACCAGCAACCACCTGAAGATAGAGATGAGAAGGGAGATGAAGAGGACCCGGCCACGGGTGAATTGGACGATGAGACGCAAGCCAGATTACAGCAGGAGAAGGTATATGCGTGAATGCGCGCGTATGTGCGTGCGTGTGCGTGGGCGCGTGAGTGTGCATGAGTGTGAATTCAATCGTGCACGCTTGCTTCGTCACTCCCTCCCTCTCTGTGCTTGCTTCCGTGCAATACGAGCTCGTACATCTCGTCTGACTTGCTCACCCAACATCACGCCACAACACACAGGCAAAGGAAGCGTACGTGGCAAACGTGAGGCGGATCATGCAGGAGATTGCCGAGCGGTGCGACCAGCAGATGGCGGGGCGGGCAAAGCTGAACTTGGTTGGCCAGGGCCGTGCGGGGAAGACGACAACGCTCCGCTCTCTTCGGGGCTTGGGCTTCAATAAGGACGAGCACTCGACCAAAGGCGCTGCAACGCACGACATGAATGTCACCGTGGATTCCATGGACGTTTACCAATGGAAGGTGAGCGTGAGAGGATGCGCTGTAAGTGTGGGTGCTTGCGTGTGTGTGGGTGCTTGCGTGTGTGTGTGTGATGTTCCAAAACATCATGCACGGGCTGATGTCGTGGCGGCGTTGTCACTTGGTGTTGTCACACGATGCTGTGTGTTTGGCCTTTCACCAGAACGAAAAGCATTCCCTCCTCATCAACCACCACACTCTCAACACCACCTTCACTTCGCCTTCACCATTGCAGGCTGTGACTGGCTTTCTGTCTGAGGTTGCGCGGAGCCTGCGGGACACGGCGCTGGCGCAGGCGGGCGGTATGGACGCGGTGATGCGGATGAAGATGGAGGAAGCACATAGGCTGCGGGAGGAGCGCGTTGCACTGCAGCTCGTCAGCGAGACGGAAGCAGACGCACCGGTGGCGGCCAAAGGGGATGTGCATGGTGATGAAGCTGGTCTTGATGCATCCGGTGAGCAGGTGCTGGCGAGCGGCAATGAACTTGGTGCACATGTCGTTGATGATGACGATGATGACGATGATGATGATTATGATGATGACAGTGACGGTGGTGGAACTGAGACTGCTGATGCTGCTGAGCCCACATCAGCGTCATTGCCATCGCCACCCGCACTCGCAGCATCGTCTGCAGTGATGACTGCCGGTATGGGAACCGTGCCCAACATCTCAACTGAGGAGATTGAGAACGCGATCAAGGATCTGAATCTGGACACGACGTTCGGGGAGGGCAACGCCAGGGTGACGTTCAAAGTATTTGACCTGGGAGGCCAGTCCACCTTCTACATTTTCCACCCTTTCTTCCTCACCAAGTGAGTTACTGTGTGTGTGTGTATGTGTGTGTGTGTGTGTGTATGTGTGTGTGTGTGTGTCTGTCTGCGTGGGTACGTGCTGCCTGCTGCCTGCTGTCCACCGCTGCCCTCCCCACACCCTCCTCACCCCACTCACCCAACCCCATCTTCACTCTCCACACCCACACCAGGTACGCGGTGTACCTGCTGGTGTTCTCGATGGAGGACCTGCTGCACCAAGACGAGAGCAAGCGGGCAGAGACGTGGGAGTTTATGGAGCACTGGTTGTCTTCCCTCCACCTTCACGCCAAGGGCGCACCCGTCCTCATCGTTGGCACCTTCGCTGATGTGGTCAGCAAGCGTAAGCAGCACGAGAACATCTCGCGTGACATCTACAGCCGCCTGCGCCACAACCCGGCGTTCCCTGGCGTCATCCACAACGACAAGCATGGTCTGTGGTTCTGGCCCGTCGACAACACCAAGTCCATCCGTGATCCCATGATCCAGGACCTGCGCCAGACCATCTCCTCCACAGCACTGGCGCAGGAGTACGTGAGCCAGGAGGTGGCTGTGCCCTACCTCCACCTCTACGACAAACTCCACGCCATCGCCCGCGACGAGAAGCGACCGCTGCTCACCTTTGACGACGTCGTGGATATTGCGCGCACGTGTGGGCTGCGCACACGCCAGGAGACAAAAGCCTGCCTGCAGTTCCTGCACCTGTACTCGATGGTGCTGTACTACGACCACGTGCCAGGCATGGAAAACTATGTGATCCTGAGTCCGCAGTGGGCCGTGGACACGATGACGCGCGTCATCCGCAACTTTGACTTGCACCGTGACGAACGTGATTGGGAGGCGAGGGCCGTTGGTGCGCAGCTGTGGGACGACTTAGTTGATCGCGGCATCCTGCACCGTCGTCTGCTGGAGGTGCTGTGGAAGGATGTACGAGATGACTTGATTGAGCCCTTTCTCCAACTCATGATGGAGTATGGGTTGTGCATGGACTACACACCGCCCAGATCAGCAGAGAGCAGCGACAGCAGCAGCGACAACTCTGTACATCATGATGATGAGCAGCAGCGCGAACACCAGCAGTATCTGGTGCCTGCCATTCTGCCGATGGTGTTGGACACGCCATCAGACCTGCCTTCGTCCGTGACGTTGAGCGTGTGCGCAGCACAACACGTGCACAAGTACGCTGGGCACGAGCCCAACACGGCCTACATCAGCTTCCGCCTGACCCCGCGTGCTTCCGATGCCCACGTGAGTGCCGAGGACATGCAGCGAACATCATTCTTTCCCGAAGGCTTGTTTGCCGTGGTGCTGGCCCATGTCCTGAGATACATTCAACCCAGCACCTCATCCACGCCCATGTTGAGCCGCACCCACGTGGTTGTGTTTGTTGGCGAAGCCGAGGTTGAGCTGCAGCTTGTGCCGGCTGTAGGCGGGATCAAAATCAAGATTGCACAAGCACGTCCTCGCGCGCTGCTGCACATGCTTTGTGACATCATCGTTGAAGCCATCAGGCAGCGCTATCATGACCTGAAGCCTTATGTCCTGCTGCCACATGACGACAAGACGCTGCTGTTCTTTGAGGACGTGCGTCGTCACCACAACAACAAGAGGGCACTTCGTGTTGGCCGCTCACAACTCTTGTCACCCGACGATCTCATCGCCAAGTACGGCCCTCTCCTGCCCGTCCTCGGCCTGCAGGAAAATTACGATGTCTTCATCAGCTACAGGTGAGTGAGTGAGTGAGTGAGTGAGTGTGTGTGTGTGTGTGTGTGTGTGTGCGTGTGTGTGTGTGTGTGTGTGTCTGTACCAACTGCCGTCTCTCTCTCACTTGCCCCTCACTTGACACATCCTCGCACGCACACCCCTTTCCCAAACATACCACAGGCAACGCGGCAACCGAGGTCTGGTGCTGACGTTGCACCCAAAGTTGGAGCACCACGGCTTGGTGGCCTTCGTGGATGTCAACAACTTGGAAACAGGCGTCAACTTCAAGCACGCGTGCTTGACAGCTCTTCAGCACAGCGTGGTCGCCTGCCCCGTTTTGTCTGTCGCTGCAATCCATCAGATGCGCTCGCTCGGCGACACTGACACGTGCGACAACGTGTTGCTGGAGTGGATGGCAATGTTGGAGCTGCAGCAGCTGGCGCACAAGCACCCAGACAAGATCCGCCTCCGTCGCATCGTCCCTCTCTTTCTTGGCAGCGGCTGGCACGACAGCAACCATACCATGAGTGTGGCGTCGGCGAGCGAGTACGATTCGCCCGAGTACATGAAGCGGCTGGCAGAGTCGCTGCCGGATGTTGTGAGTGAGAAGACTGCAGCATCCCTCGATCAGTTCTTCACGCAGGTGCTGCACCTGCCGCCACCACAACAGCACAAGACCGTGCGCGAGACTGTGCTGTCTCTGTTTGACATTGACGGCGTCATGTCCTTTCAACGCCGAGTTGACCGAGGAGCGGATGCGGCAAGGTTTGCAGAGCAAGTGCGCCAAGTTGTCTCGGCTGGAAGCAGTAGCCGAGGTGTGCAGCGGCCCACCCAAACGTCGCAAGAAGCAACATCGTCGCTCCCTCCGTCAACCCAACCGGTATTGAGAGTGAGATATGGAGTATGCGTTATGTTTGAGCACTGCCGTTGTCTGTACTGTGAACACATACCCATGCTTTGCCTCACCTTGGCTGCCCAACCCTTCTTCGTGCATCTTTGTTTCGTTGTCCTCACAACTCTTGCCTGCAGGCACCTGCTGACGTGTCCACACTGTCTGCCGATCTCCGTGAGTGGCTGCAATCCGCTGACCTCCTGGCCAAAGTTGGGCCCGCCCTCATTGGTGTTGGGGTGGAGAAAATGGACGACCTTGGCCGAGCAATGCGGTTGATGGGGGATGACTTCAAGGCAGAAATGAAGGCTGCTGGTGCCAAGCCGTTTCACGTTGCCTGTCTTCTTGAAGCCTTTGAAGCGGAGCAATGAGGCTCTTGCTCGTGCATGGTTTAGTGGCGTTTGTTGCTGTTCCTTTTGCTCGCAAGCTTGCATGTTCATCACGATGCTGCCTTGCTTGCTTGCCCTCGTGTTGCGATCAGATCATTGTGTTTGTGTGTTTGAGCACCTTCCTGTGCATCGCTAGATCAGTGGCACATTCCGTACACTCACTTCAGTCAGCTCCTGCTTTCTCGCCTTGCATACACTGTTCGCGCACACTCTGAATCACCTTATTGTTGTTGTTGTTTTGAAGTTGTTGTCGTTGTTGTTGTTGCTGCTGCTGTTGTTGCTGCTGCTGCTGCTGTCGTTGTTGTTGTTGTTGTTGTTGTTGTTGTTGTTGTTGTTGTTGTTGTTGTTGTTGTTGTTGTTGTTGTTGTTGTTGTTGTTGTTTCATTTGATGTGACATGCATTGAAATGAACGTTTTTCCAAATGCACAACAGCAAGTTCAAGAAGACCTATTCCAGAAAGCAAAGTGCGATGCGCACACATACGCATTACACATACAGACACAACTACAAGTTCACACAAGCAAATAACAGCTGCGATTCCTGTTTGTGATTATTCGAGTGCGAGCACGTCAAGTGGCACAAACAGGTCCTCCATCTCCACGCGAACTTCGCCAGAGGACATTTGATCCTCCCGTATCCAATCCTTCAAGTCGTTTGCATCTGGCGTGCATGTGTGTGTGTGTGTGTGTGTGTTCGTGTTAGTGTGTGCGTGCGCATGATAGTGCGTGTGTTGGCGTGTGCGTGTGTGTGTGTGTGTGTGTGTGTGTGTGTGTGTGTGCGTGCACGTGATGCAACGAGCAATTGACAGCACGTCATGCGAGCATCTCCACAGCACGCCAACCGAGCATCTCCACAGCACGCAACGCGAGCATGTCCACAGCACGCCAAGCGAGCATGTCCACAGCACGCCAAGCGAGCATGGCCACAGCAGCACCACCACTACCACAACTTGATAACGTACAGAGGAGGTCGTAGAGTGCCGTGTCCTTCTTGACTGCGCGGAAGTGCACAATCTCCGATTGCAGCGCAGGGTTGTCTTCAGACAAGAACTGTGTTGTATGATGATGATGATGATGACGACAATGGTGATTGGGCACGTGGTGGTGAGGTGGAACAAGAAGAAGGCGGTGGGAGGCGTGAGTCACTTTGATGACAGCATGTCCAATCAAAGCACACGCAAGCGCTGCTGCTCGTCTTACCACCATGTCGCACTCCCTCCTTCCCAACACACACACACACACACACACAGAGCATTTCACTCGTGCTCACCTCGGCTGCTACGCTTCGCGGAACAGAGACCTCCAGCACCCGCAGCTTGTAGTTTGACGAATCCTGACACACGCACGCAAACACAACATGGTCAGCAGTGCGTGCGTGTATATGCGCATATGTGCGTGTGTATGTGCATGTGTGTGTGTGTGTGTGTTGGTTGCATGTGACAAGATTGGTGTTGCTGATCTCACCGGGTCTTTCGACGTTCGCTTGTCATACAACACTTGAAAAGCTGTTGAT